AAAGTGAACTTGTGTTTTATTGAGGGGAAATTTCATGCATTTATGTTTAATACACATAAATATGGCATTTGCAATAGATCGATATTCACTGTGAATCATTACAAACATTAGAGAGAAGTGGAAAACCATATTTCCTTAATATGAGATTTTATATTACATATGCACACTCCATTAGAGGTCAAATCCAATATCTTCACGTCTGGAAGGTCAAATTACAATATAAATAAATATGAACTGCTTACAATAACTTTAATTTTTGATTCTAAACACTTTTATTCACAAATAAGCTTTTATTAAACGTTAATACAATTTATATTTAAAGATTGTTACTTTTACACAATAAAATTTGCATTTATCTATGAAAGTGACTAATGAGTTAATAAACATGATTAGAATTTACGAAATATCCCACAATTAATGTACAATAATTTATCAATGATAATCACGTAACTGTCAGTAATATTTTGTCTTGGTTAGTTATTATTGGTGATTTCAGTATGTAAGAACACTAATCTCCACAACTATGTAATCAATACAGTCTTACAGTAAGCTCACTAGTGAGTAGCTTCGTGAAGAAGTTCTCGGAATTCTGGTGAGAATACGTGATCGGTGGAGCTCAACTCTCTGGGGTCAAATTGCGCAATAAATCGAACTGATTAAAGTTAGATAATACTACTGTCGAAAGTCGACTCAGTGGTTTAGAGTTTAGGCGCTTGCGTGCAATACTGAAGGTCCTGGGTTCGAATCCTGCAAGCAGCGGGAATTGTGGATGCGCAGTGCTGATGAGTCCCAATGCCAGGATGAAACAGCAATTTAGTGCTTCCAGGTTTTTAATGTTGGTTTAACAATGTTTGATTGATGCTTTCAGTGTGTAAACACACTAATCTCCGTAACTGTGATTGAAAAAAATGGGGAAATATAAAAACCATACACTTGTACACACATCACTATCAGTCATTTCATCAACCTAATTTAAACATTTGTGAAAAAGCAACATATTTTCTTCTAAAAAAATAAAACAATTTTTTCCCATCTATAACAATTAAAATTGTCAAAAATATAATGAGGGAAAAAATTATTAAAAATCACTCATTTGTAGTCAAATACAATTTTTCATATTAGCTAAAAACGAATCCACTTAAACTTACAAACGATTATTATTGAGAATATACATTCAATTTGTCAATAGAAATTCATGTTGTTGTTTTATTTTCACATAACACACATAACAAGTGTGATACTTACCGTCATACACATTAACAATACTTGTGTAACAAGGAAAAGAAAATCCAAAAAAAAAATAAAAACTGTCATGTATTGTTGACAGTTTTTTTTCTCTCTCTGTAATTTTCTTTTGATTCACAACTAACTAACTAATTTCCGTACAAATGAACGAACCGTATTTAGGAAAAACTTTTGTGTGAAATAATAAATAATGTCATGCTTGTCATTTATTATTGTATATGAGATCATGTTTTGTACAGAATAAAATAAAATAAAAGTAGGTCAGATTAATTTTTGTTTAAATTTTAGTTTGACTGTATATTTTTTAAATTTTCACTTGGATTTAATCTATGCCGGTGAATAGGATGCAAGAAAACTGATGTGGAGATTTATTTCACAGCATCATCGAACGTCGGTAAGTAAAGCTAGTAGTAATCACAATCAACTATCCACACACATAGATACACGCACCGACAACCACACCTACTTGCTCGCACACACACACATACAACCGGGGAATAAACAACAAATTCGATGATGACTGTGGATTTGTTCAGTAACTTAAATCACATCACACATTTTGTCCAGAATAGGAAAAGTGCGAGAGAGAGAGAGCAAGTAGATGGACTCGATCATCCTCACGGTTGATAACTAAATCAATCACAAATCAATACATTCAACTATTTACAACATGAAAGTAATACAATTCCCACAAAGCGTAATCTTTTTGACATGCAGTCATGAATTCATCATTAGTTAAATAACAGTAATGTTACTCTTGTTTTTTTATCACGATTATCAAAATATTTCACTGGAAGTTAAGATAAGATTGAATGAAATAATTTATTTGCATTACGGGGTTGTGAAGATTGTGAAGTTACACATTTTTGAAATCATTAATCGATCAATGTTAGATCACCATTAGAAGAAACCTGGAAGCACTGGACGGCCGTTTCGTCCTGGTATGGGACTCATCAGAGACAGTGAGCATCCACGACCCCTGCACCTCGCAGGATTCGAACCCAGGACCTTCGGTATTGTATGCGAACGCCTAACCATCGAACTACTGAGCCGATACGTAACGGTGTTAATGTCTAACTTGATCAAATTCACGGAGTTGCGCAACCTCATACATACACATACTGTCTACACCCGAACAGGTTGAACTTCATTGGTCACGTCTTACCACTAGAACTCGGAGAAGATTCCTCACGAAGCTAGTCACTAATGAGCACAGGTAATTTGCATTACGGGGTTGTTGTGAAGATTGTTAAGTTACACATTTTCGAAACCATGAATCGACGATCTTAGACCACCCATACCAGGACGAAACGGCCGTCTTTCAGTGCTTCCGGGTTTCTAATGGTGGTTTGACATTGATCAGTTCATGGTTTCAAAAATAATTTATTACTCAGTTTATTTATAATGAACTTCGAGTTTAGTGCAGGTAACTAGTAAAAGATTTTCTCACAAGTTCAATTTAATAAGCATTTATGTCGGTGGATATTTCGATATAATTCACCAGACTTCGTTTACTGATCGTCAAACGGTTTGCACAATTCAGAAGACAACTACAAAGTTTTGACTACGTTTATTAACTCGCCAAAATGATCAAAAAAGCACGAATATACGAAGCAAACACAAAACGATATGCGAGTGGATGTGATTAAAATGCATGAGTCATCGACCTATTTAGACGATTAATATTAAGGCCAGTAGAATGAACATGAGCATAGGCTGTACCAAGTGTTCATGCATATATGCTCCTCATACAAACGCGACAATAATAAAAGTAAAAATGTATTGACAAGTTGTTGTTATTCCTATTTCGATGACACTATCTTTTAAATAAGTCAATAAAAACAGCTTAACCAAATCAAACATAAACCGACTCAAATGTATATGATATACCGTTCAATGTTCAATGTGTAGGAATATCAGATAACAAGGTCGAATTTAATAAACTAAGAAATAGGAAATAATGTTTACTCAATGACTAATCATTCATTATCAGAAATATTCTGTTTTGAATGTAGTTAGTTTAAGTATATTTCTCATAAGTATTCACCAAATAATGATTACAGACCAGTTAAGTTTATATCCTGTAAAGTTAAGCTGCTGTTTCATCTTTGAGCGGCTTCATAACTTAACGACTGATTATCTGTAAAAAGAGTATAGCATTATAAAGTCCTAGTTATGTGCACTTACGTATGTAACATTTTATAACAGTTGGTTGTGATCTTTCGTTTTATTGATAAATGTTTGCATGGTCTAACTGATGTTTTGTTTGCTAATTGTGGAAGTGTTAAATTTTGCATGTGGGTTATCTCGTTCACTTTAATTGAGAAGTTATTTGTATAACACACTTGATACTTCATTTAGTCACATTGATAACTATGAGGATGTTCAATAACTGGGCTGTATTCCCGTGAACTACCTATTTAAAATTTCAGTAATGCTAAATCGTTGCCTGTATACCCTTCCAGGGTTACTGCTGCTCCCAGGATTGCTATTGAGAAGTCATGACCAGTGTAGTTCAATCCTGTTGGGTGTAGACAGTAACTACTGAGGAAAATGGGTAATCCATAGATTGATCAGAGTTAGACATTAACATCGTTGGATACCCGCTCAATGGTTCAGAGGTTAAGCGTTCGCGTGTAACACCGGGAGATCCTGGATTCGAATCGTGCAATTAGTGGTAGTTGTGGATGCGCACTGCAGATGTATCTCATACTGGGACGAAATGGCCGTACAGTGCTTCCAGACTTCTGATGGCGGTCTAACAATGATTGATACATGATTTCAAATGTGTAACTTAACAGTCTTTACAACCCCGTAATGCAATTTTTAAATACTCGTTAATTAAATAAGATGTCAGTGTAAACACAAAGTTTCACAATTGTTAATCAATCAATACATGAACGATAGTTGATTAATGTTAGAACGATAACTATACCTCTGTTTACTTAAGACTTACAAGCTAAATTATTATAAAAGCTAAATTTTAAACTGTAATTTAAAAAAAATCATGAAAATAAACCGGAAGTGAATTATTAATATTATGGTATTTAGATCTTCGAAAATGCAATTAAACTCTTCTGCAATTTAAAGAATATACAATGACAATTGTTTACAATTTTCATCTTGCTAAAATTTTAAACAGTATGAATGAAATGTAGCGTTGTAATTTAGACCAATGATGATACTATTATCAGTAAGTATGAACAGGCTCCTAGACAATAGTGTAGATAGCATAAGTATAAATGTAAGTTAAGTAGAACATCACAATCGGTTTATGGAATCGAGTTGAATAAATGACCTGATACGCACGACAGTAAGCAGAATCCCCGCTACCCCTTCAAATGCTCTCATATGGTCATGTGTACATAGCCACTGTCAGGGAAGTTCTACTCACTGGCTTTTCGCACAAAATTACAAAATTACGGACACGAAAAGCGATTGTCTAGCGGGACTCAAACCGGATTGGGGGTACGGAGGATTAACCTATGGGAATTGAAAAACCCTGGTTTCAAACCTATGGTTATACACATAGGCTCCAGGACCTTGAAGGAGTCTACCGTTGGTCACTTACTCCTGATGTTACTCCATTTCTTTGTAGGCGGAACGTTTGTGTTCAATGCTTGTGGTATGGTTACACATCCAGGGTTGAGCATGACTCACTTACAATATCTTTAAATCACTGCAAAATATATGTAACTAAAACATTAATATACCTAGTCAAATGACCAGCACAGTATTAAAATAACAAAACTTACTGGTATTCCAGATAAATAAGCACATTCCATAAAATCTAATTCTGGTACTTTCCATGTTAAAAATAGTCCAAGTGCAGTCGATGTTATACCAAGAAATAATTGCATACACACTAACAATACAATTAATGAACAAAGACAACGTGTAAATGAATCACTAGTTTTCACATGTAATTCTGGTACAGTATCGATTTTTTCATTCAATGTCAAACTATTCCCATGTATACTGTATGCTTCATTGATTTCACTAAATTGTTTATGCTCTGCTTTACTATGAATCTGTAAAGGATTATTATCTAAATTAGAATTGATTAAAACTGTTGTACTAGACGGTTGAACAGTAGTAGTTGAACGATGATGATATTCATTCGTTAGTTGATTAGTTGCTTGAAGAAATGATTGATTCGATTTATATAATTCATTACTATTCGATTGATTTTCATTATTATTCCGATTCATACTACTACTACTACTATTAATATTATTAACATAATTGACATTACGCATACTACTGACAAAATTACCATGCATTCTGGCATTATGATGTATATTTGAATTAGAATGATATTGTGAACATACGGAATTCGACCGACGACTTGTCTGTAATAATAATAAGGATAAAGATGTATTAGATGGTTTTTTATGTCGACAACCTTCAGTATGTCGTCGATGATGTAAAGCAGTTGGTAGATAGATTTGTTGACGACATGGTAAATCCATTGGTGGAGGAGGATGATGTAGGAATAAATTCTGATTGGATTGTAATGCGGTCGGATAGAAAAAATTGCACGATTTCATATTCAATTGATATTTATGCCAATAATCATGATGTTGGGCGGATTTACGTTTTCTAGCATGAGAATACGATTTTACAGTGGGATTAAATTTTTGAATTGTTGATAATTCTGGCAATGAATGCGAACGTTGCAGCATCGTGGTCGATAATCGTTTCGTCAATACTGATCGATGACATGGGTAATTTGTTGTGTAATTCATTAAACTTTGGCAAGATATTGGTGATGAAGCTCGTCGACGTTTTGTTGATTTCTGCGATTTTGTCAACATACCTCCTTTAGGCAAAAACATACTGTCGGAAGAATTACCATTCGGTGAATGATGAAATACATCGGAATCACTGTATTGATTTTCCACGGATAAACATGGTAGACAGTGTTTTGATAAATTCATATTTTGTACAGGATAATTATAACAGGAATATGGGCTTAATGATCGATTGGATGATAGATTTGGCACATTTGTTCTGGCTGACTTGATTGTACATGATCGATGAATGTGTGAGGATCTTTCCGAGGGACAGTGCTGTTGTAGTTGTTGTTGTTGTTGCTGTGCCGGACGATGTTGATGTTGATGACATGCACAATTATCTGTCAAATTATCTAAACATAATGACGTTGAACTGGAACGTTGAAAATCAATCATCCTATTGTCATTAGTAGATGTTGAATAAATTTTCATAGTAGTAATTTGATTATTATTGGTATTCATCGCTGAACAACAAAATGAACTACAATTTTGATTAGAATATTGTATAGGTGGCGGAGATGATGATGAGGATGGTGATGAGGACAATGATGAAGTGAACATTCCCGGTGGAGGTGGTGTTCTACGACTTGTAGCTGAAAATGTCGATTGATAATGATTATTGAGGCATAAATTTCGTTTGTCTTTATGACAAAAATAATCCTCTTTCAGATTGACATGACTTGAAGCATTTTCACATGGTGTTGATTTCAAATATTGATGATGTTTTATTGACCAATAGTATGGTGTTAAGAAATTTTGATAACATGATCCTGGACTTGATGTCCCGGATGTCCAACCAGGATTATTATTATTATTATTACTATTATCATTATTATTTGGTTGCATAAATAAACCATTGATCAGATGACAATTTAAATTTGTTCGACTGTTGTAATTTGATTCTTGTGGTGTATTCGTTGGTATCTCAATGACAATTTGTGGTGTCATTGGCATTAAAGGAATATTTTCTACGATTACGGAGGAGGCAAGCATTTTATTTTTTCTAAATATTTAAACTATAATTTTGCGTTGAACATGATGACGTGAAGTGTGATGATGGGCAATATGAAATGTAAAATTAGCAAAAATCAAGGATAATTATGGAAGATGATGATAAAACAATTTTCTCAATTTTGATTGGTTATCAACGAACAACCAATAAGAATTCAGTTTTGAATGTCAGTTTCAAAGTATCGTATCCTACCTATTGTGTAGATTATTTTCTATTTCATTCACTGTAATCTTTTAAACTAAAATTTATTCTACTTTACATTGGTTGATTATAACGAATAACGTTTTTTTTTTAAAAAATATCTGTTTATAAGTATTTTAATCAAGAAGTCAAATGGAAAATTATTTCATTCAATTCGTGAATCGATCGCTGTTGGACTGTGGTGGCCAATGTATTACTAGTCTCGTGTCGGTCGGTATCCAACGTGTTCCTGGACTTCTTAATTTGCTCATCCAAACAATCCTTACTAAGTAGTGCCTGACGGTTTTAAATCCGAAGGTGAACATGGAGTGTTGAATACGTTAATTTTGGCATATCACAAATGGATAGGCAGATCACAAGCACGCAGAGCACGGCAAGCAAACTAGTGAGCGCATTGGCGAATTCTGTGAAGTGGAGAAGGCTAGTGAGCCAACCCCAAATACATGAAACATGACTAAGAATTTATAGTCTGACAAAAATTAGACAGACATGTAATAATCGAGATAGGCATGCACACACATGAATACAAGTGATGAATGATTGACAAGGTCGAAAGAGAAGTGGGACAATTCATGTGAGCTAGACAATGAATGATTCACTACAAGAACAGTAAGTACTGGACGGTTGAGACGCAGAAGCAGTGCGCTTCCACGAATACAAGGACATTCGATCTCACGAGCGGACGCTTAACTTCTGGATCACTGTTATGCTAATATGCTTGAAACTATTACGGGTTTACCTCAGTCGGTAAACGAGAGCCAAGACAAATGATCCAGTGATACGATTGGCTACTCTAATCCGAGAGTCCCAGGACCCTGTTAAGTAGAAGAAGAAGTCTTCATATAGCGTAGAGATTGTATTCCACAAGCACCCGGAAAATCGAGGATAACAAGCACACAAATCGAGTTTAGTTATACATGATAGAAGCGTCCTTGGGAGAGCCGTAAAACAACATACTGAAATAATACATCAACCAATAACAGCCAAGGATTTTCTGGGTGGGAAATATAATCTTAAGACCGACTGATCAGCCAATGAATAAAATCCCAAATTAGGACTCATATCAAGTGAGTTCTGGGCATCTAACTTCCTCGAAAACCACTGAACCAGCATCCAGCAGTGTCCCATACTAGGATGAAAGGGCCGTAAAGCACATCCAGGTTTCGAAAGGCATTCTAATATTGATCGATTCATGATTTCAATGAAATTCAACAACCTTAACAACCGTACAATTAATAAATCTAGAAAACGTTTTTGATCATATAAAAATCTAGTAACTGTCATGATGTTTTCCAACTTGATCCATTAAAAAAGTCACTAATTAAAAATCTGAAAAAAATGATTCGTTTGTAAAATAATTTGCATCTTGATCAAACAAATCAATGCGGTTTTGTGTGATTCCCAGTTGCTTTCTTCAAATAAAAAATTATTTCTATTTTCAACCATAAAACAATATGAATAACCATGGTCAAGAATATCTACAACAACTGCTTAAGTGTGACAAATGGCTGAAGGTATTTACTGGCGTATTTTTTTGGGTATAGAAGTGTCAATGATGACTTTTAACAGTTTATACTATAGATTGAACCCAGTGATGAACACTTTTTTTCCCGGTCGGTATCAATTTTTGATACATGAGTTTTTCTGGGCATACATAGTGAATGATTTATATATTACGATAAAAGTGTGTGTCTGAATGAATTTCGACAACAATCAGTGAAATTTTTTGTCGGCTAAAATAATCCATCATACAACATAATTTTGTTATATCCGATATCTTCATTTGTGAAAAGGCAGTGATTTATTATTCGGAGTATGTTAGCTAACAAACGAAACTAGCGTATTAGGTAGGGTTGGTTGATAGCTGACAGTGAAATCAAGGACGTGATAAATTTCAGTCTTAAGCATTATTGGGATGAAACCGATAACCAGTACATTATGAATTCTTATTCAATTGGTTAGTAAGTTCATATATTACTTAGTAAATCCCATAGTTTATTGATAACATAATTTTGCTTTTAAAAGTAATTCGTAGTTGTTTTCAACATTAAAACCGTCAGTCAGTAAGTAATACAGTGCCTGAAATATAAGTGAATCTGTTCAAGTTTTCATATCAAGTTTGTAAACTTTAATGAAATGATCTATAAAACTCATGGATTAGTAGAAGTAATGACCGTATGAGAGATTGCGTAAAACACTAGACGTAGACAACATATTTGGAGAAGGAACTAGTGAAAAAAATCATTGCTACCTATAATTACCACAACAACGAGATGGCTTAGTTCAATAATCAATTCCTTCATTGGAAAGAGCTATATTTTGACTTAGTTGCATCCTCAAAGTCAAAGGAATACAGAAAATTCCAAAAAGCTAATTATGCTGAGAACTGAAAGCATGTATGAAGACAATGAACAGCTGTTGGGTAGAACTGGAAAGGACGTCCCAGAACAAGGTGGGTTGGAGAATGCTGGTCGACAGCCTATGCTCCATTCAGGGCAACAGGCGTAAGTAAGTATGTAAGTTGGCATTTTCAGTCTATCGAGGTTGACTGTGGTTGCGACGCATTCATATCAGTAGGTGGAAATTCACTACCTAACTAACTATTTAACATATCTACTTAATACCCTGGAACTCGACATAATATCGCTCACTTGATAGCCTCATCCACTTGAAAACCATATGATAAACATAATTATTTACTCATATAAACAGACACTGCTTTTATGAAGGAAGTTCAATATCAGTATAGTTCAACATTTCATGAAGTAAGCAATCAGCAAAACATTTATTAATCTATTTAAAACATAAATCAAGGTTTATGAATGTGAATTTGGAAACTTTCAAAAATGCTAATCAAGTGAGCAAATGAGATTTCTAAAATATTTGTTGACTTGAATTTAAGTCAACTATTGCAGATATAAAACATATTTCGAAATATTATCTTCACTGATGATTTTAAGTGGTTTAATGAAAAGATTAGTTTTACCAAACTCGCAAACTGATCAATATTAGATCGCCATTCGAGACTTGGAGATACTGACCGCCGTTGGATGCCTGCTCAAAAGTCAAGTGGTTAAGCATACGCTCGCGAGACCGGAAGTCCTGGGTTCAATTCCCGTTTGCACGGTCGGGAATGTGCATGGTTGATGACGCCAACACTAGGAAGAAACGGCTGATCAATACTTTTAAGTTTCCGAAGGTAGTCTAACATTGATCGGTTCATGATTGCAGTGCGACTCAACAGTCCCCACTACCCTACAAGGACGGTTATCATGTGATCAATGGTGACTAGTTTCATGAGGAAATTTTTAGGCTTCAAGTGAGAAACCATGACAAGTGGAATTCAGCGCTGTTGAGAGTGAGTCAGTCACCACCTGTAGACAATGGGGAAGGTTGCGCAGTGCTGAGAGTTGATTTGTGTTAGACAGTAACGCCTTTATACGCCGGTTCATTCTTCGAGATGTTAAGCATTCGTGCGTCAGACCGAAAGTTGTAGGCTTGATTCCCTTTTTGCATGGTCTTAGATGTGTACTGCTGATGACTTTCATACTTGGAGGAAACGACTATCCATTGCTTCCAGGATTCTAATGGTAATCTAACAGTGACCAGTTCATGAAACCATTGAAACTCAACAAGTTCCACAAAATTATACTGAAAGTGAATTTTAATGGAACGATGTGTAACACGTTTTAATCGGTGCGCTTTAATTTTCTAAACGATGCCAAGAGAAATGGTTCAAGTAAACGTCGATAGAAAATATGAAAAATGTCATACGAAATTTAGAGCTCTTTGCAAAATAATATTATACTACTATAGTGACTTTAACCAAAATCAGGATTTTCGATACAAATGTCAAGACAGTTCTACTGTATGGAGCGGAAACTTGGAGAACTAAAAAAGCCATCATCCACAAGATACAAGTATTCATTAACTGTTGTCTTCGCAAAATACTTCGGATTGGTTGGCCAGACACCATCAACAACAAAGTACTGTGGGAGAGAACAAATCAGATTCCAGTGGAGGAGGAAATCAGGGAGAAGTGGTGGAAGTGGATAGGACACACACTACGAAAAGCACACAAATTGCATCACAAGACAAGCCCTCACATGGAACCCTCAAGGCAAAAGGAAAAGAGGAAGGCCAAGGAACACAGTACGCCGAAATATAGAGAAAGATATGAGAGGAATGAACAAACATCGGACAGAACTGGAAAGGGAAGCCCAGGACAGAGTTGGTTGGAGAAAACTGGTCGGCGGCCTATGCTCCATTGTTGGGTAACAGGCGTAAGTAAGTTAGTACAGTGACTTTATTCAGTGACATACACACAAGATACAACATAATCCATAATCAAGTTGTATTTCCTTTGGTGTGCACTACATGAGAAAAAGTGATCACATTTTTATATCCCTTTACGCAGACATATTTACTGATAGGGAAATTTCATAATGTATTTTACTAACGTGCTCGGTGACCATGAAAAACAATGAATTCGATTGAAATAAAACACATTGGTTCCTTAGATCCAGGAAAAGTCAGAGACTTTCTAGTAATATATGTTGGAGATGTTAGATCCTCAGAACTCACTTGATAAACGCCCTAATTTCGCATTTTATTCATGGGCTGATCAACTGACCTTGAGATCAAACTTCCCACCAAGAAAATACTTGTCTGTGAATGGTTGATGTGTTATTTTAGTACGCCATCTTTGTGACTCTCCCAAGGACGTTTCTATGATATATAAATAAACGCAATTTGTGTGCTTGAGATCATTGTGTGCTTG